GAAGAATACATAGGTATGATTCAGTTTATCTCAGGTTCAAAAACAGACACAACTAAATAATACGTTTTCTATTCGTACATAGGAGGTAAACTCTTATCAAGACCAAAAGCGGCTAATCTAAAATGTGGGTGGCAATTAACTGAAGAGAAGAGAAGAACAAGAAGGGCATACAAAAAAAATCATTGGCATAATCCACTTCCTTAGACAAATAACAGGTAAGTAATTGCTTAGTGATGACTTTTAAAGGGATTTACGTATTTTGTATGTGTGGTACATTTCAGAAAGTTTAGGAAAGAACATTCTTTGAAAATGAGGTGTGTTTTTTTAAGCAATATAATTTCGTCTCACTTCCGTGAGGCCGGGTCTTCACAATTTTATAGCTCATGAAGCGGTACTGCCTAGAGGACAATTGTGTGAGGCTACACAGTTATTATTTGCCAACTAGGGATACTGATCTGGGTGTGTGTGTGGTGAGCCTTAACTGTCAATTTGACATAATCTGGGATTATCTGGGAAGAGAATGTCAACTGATGCATTGCCTAGATCCCATTGCCTTGTGGACAAGTCTGTGAGGGATTGTCTTGTCAGCCCACTGCGGGCAACACCATTTCCTGGGCACCACGTCCTAAGCTGGATATAAATGCTAGCTGAGCACAGGCCTGCCTGCCTTCCAGCCAGTGAGCAACCCCCTCCACGCCTCCAGCTGTACTTCTTTTGTTAGGAAGTGAATTTCTTGGCCAGAGGTAATGTGAGAAAGATCAAGCAGGCCTGCCTTCAAGTTCCTGCTTTAATTTCCTTTAATAACGCACCGTGACCTGGAATTTTTGAATTGAATAAGCCCTATCTCGCACCAAGTTATTTTTGGTCGGGGTACTTGTCACAGCAACAAAAATGAAACTAGAAAAGTGTGTGACATATATGTGTGCAATAAGTATGATGTATACGTGTATAGTGTAATATATATATATATAGTGTGTGTGTGTGTTTGTGTGTGTGCACATTCATGTGAGTATAGAAGATGTGTACATCCCAATACACACATATGGAGGTCAGATGACAACCTTGGAGGTCAGTCTTTGCCTTCCACCTTGAGACAGGGTCTCTTCCTCGTTGTTCAGTGTGGCACATAAGTTAGCCGGCCCACAAGCCTCGGCATCCTCCTGTCTGTGCCTCCCATCTTCCACATGGGTTCCGGGGATCTGAACACATGTCCTCACACTTGTTCGGCAAGCACTTTACCTGTTGAGCCATCTCCCCAGACCCTTAACGGCATTTTTATACCTTCCTCCCAAGAATACTGAAGATTGAAGCAGTGTGAAAATATTAATAATCCCTGGGGCATAGTCAGGAAACATTAGCTGTCTCCATGTCTTGTTTTAATTCGGGGTGGGGGATTGAGACAGGGTTTCTCTGTGTAGCCTGGGCTATCCTGAAACTCTCACTCTGTAGACCAGGCTGGCCTCAAACTCCTGAGTGCTGGATACAAAGGTGAGTACTACCACTGCCTGGCTGCTGTTTTAATTTTTAAGTTAGCATGTGAAATAAAGGGTTTCACTGCAGCACTTCCAAACATAAATAGCAAGATATTTGTTCTTTTATCACTATCGCAGTATTAACAAGAAACCAGTCCCCTTCTGTCTTCCCTCTTAGAATGGGAAGAAGAAAGTCTGACCTAAATTGTAGTAGAATAAACAGAGGCATTGATGCCTGCAGTTGGCTGCCTCACTACTCTATTTCCCTATTTTAAAAATACACATTTTGTGGCAATTACTATTCCTAAAACTGGTGTTCCTTAAAAATTGATCTTAAAAATCGATGTGCAATTTAATACTGGGCTGCCCTTCTAGAAACCTTTTATTAAAATGAAGATGTGTCTTGTAATTGATCGGGCCCTGGGATTGAGGAAATAAAGTCATTATCATGCTGTTATCAAAGCAGGCACAGCAGTTGTAAAACAAGAGTAGCTAAGCTGCTGGAGACTTTGGTCCAGGGCGTGTGTTTATTTGTTTGTTTGTTTGTACTGCAGCAAATCCATCACAACGACCATAACCTTTAAATGGTCTGCAGGTTCTATTAGTAACCTTTATATCTTCAGGCACTGAAGACTTAGATACAAGAAGTCAGACTGCTTTGGCCCCCATTTGCTGGCTCTAACCTCTCAATGCCTAGCCTCAGGACTTTAGCATTCAGGCGCATACAAATGCTGTTCACGCATGCAAACACACACAACCCCCCACTCTGAATCTGCTCCTACTCACTTCTGGGAGTCTATTTGCTCAGGATTAACCCTTCTGTGGGTTTTGGTTCTCTTCTCTAGGCAGACAAAACACCCTGTACCTGGCCATTTAAGGAGACCCCTGCAGCCACTCTAACCCCTGCCCTGACCGAACCCGGCCTCCTGGTACTCAAGATCTGCGTAGCCTGTAGATAAACTTTCCTTTTTCACTAATGAGTCGTACATACAGAAACATGCCAGCAGCTCCTCTGAATGCCTCTGGACCGCTGCAGGCATTCCAGCAGCGTGGTCTACGCCTCCGCTGGAAAGGCATGCCATTCAGACAGAGTGTAGGTTAGAGAGAGAGGGTAATGAGAACCCAGTGGCAAGTTAACTGTGTCCAGCCCCTGCTCCTTTCTAAGATGGCCTCCGAGTTTCTAGGCCTCAAGCAGAGAAACAGGCCAAGCTCGTTTTTCCCTTGACAGGGCAGACAATCTCTATCTACCTGCATGTAATGAACCAAGTGTTTTCTGATTCATAGGCCCGCTTTACCCACATTCTTCTGACATTGTGCATCGCCACCCTTCCCCAGTAGGTAAAGAGCAAACTTTGTTCAAAAGGCCTGGATAGGTAAGCTCTCCAGCAGAGGAACTGTTTTGCATTTATATTCCAGAATTTTTATTAATAAATTATACAGGTTTCTCCACATAACTGAAAAGTTTTACTTAAAATTTCATTTACTTTTTACGCTTGGGCAGACTTGTATAAACCCATCGCACTTACTAGGTTAAGTATCTCAAAGCTTGTTCTTTAGTCAGTGTAGGTCAGTAGCAGCTTCAGCTTTGTTATCTACAAAGGACAGAAAAGCCACAAGTTCCTGGGTTGATTTTGTTGTTGTTGCCAAAATAGGTTCAAAAAGCTTTCTGTTTCTAATGAACAGTCTCATGCCCTTTTATATCACATAGGTTATTTCACTATTTGGTATTTTTACACCTTAAAAGAATAGCTTTTGGAAACAACTGATTAGGTTCTCCATAAATCAAATGAAGTTTTGTTTGATGGATCTATTTCAAAATATAAGCATTTTCAATATGGTTACACATAAGCCTAATAATAACAGCCTAATAAAATGCTCCATTGTGCCACTAAGCCTAGATAAAGAAGGCGAGAATGCTGCCAACGAGGAGGCCTCCTTCCAGATGCCATGTCTTGATTTGGGATCTGTAAACCAAGTGTGAGAAATGGGACAACTCAGTCTTGCTAGGAGAAAAAAAAAATAATGCACCAAATAGAATCAAAGCTACCAAAGAATTCATGTTTTGAGAACAGAAACATATATACAAGAAAATGGACAGGTAAGGTTAGTGGTCAAAACAATCCAAAGAAGGAATATCAAGTGGAATTCAGACCCAGTAATTTGAAATATCAATTCTGAATGTTCAGTGTATGGTTCCTGTTAGCTACTTAATCAGGAGGATTTAAAAAAAAAATTTTAATTATCAGTTGTGGACGAGCAGGGTGTGGTCGGAGTCTGACAAGTATTCTTGAAACCACCGGAGCTTACAGCAAAGGAGGAAAAGTCTATCAGGGAACAAACTGGCGGCGTTTAGGGACGCGCTGCTGAACTTTTCAGACCTTCCTACACACAGCCAAAACCCACACTCGCCTTCATACGCTCAATAAGAATAGTTATCACTGTTTAATCCAGAGAAGCACACCCTCAGAGGGAATACAGGAACAACCATTACCGGGTTGTGTGAAAGGATTATTGACTATAAACCTAAAAGAGAGCTGAGGGTGGATACTGGCACACAGGCACGAGGACAGCAGATTCCCGAAGCACGTGTTAAGTTCCACAACGTAACGCAAGGACCCAAGGATGACCAGGTCTAAGCCTTATCAAAGGTACTGCTAAGTGATACTTGACACCTCTGCGTAGGAGTTACAGACGCTGGGTGAATTAAGGGAAGCAATGGTTTGCCCTCTCAGAGCCCACCTAATTGGCTCTGCTTTTCTGGACAGAAACCAGCTCCCACAACTGGCAGCCATTAATGTGGACAGACATGCTTTGAGGAATATGAATACATGCAGGTGGAGGAAAGAAAACACAACTGCAGTATTAAAAAATCCTTGCTGTCCGTTGCAAATGTCTTATCGCTAAATTCTCAAGGTGCAATTGTCTTTGCTCTCAATGAGCTTAATTCTAAAACAAAGCAAAACCCAAACTAAACCAACCAACCCAATAAACAAACAAAACCCACAATCGCTCAAAATAAGACAATTGTGGCTGCTCAGACTTACTTTCCTAATGGCGCTTTGCAGCCTTCTGGGGTGTTTTAAGTCCATCTTAAGGGTCCTTGGAGTTTCTCCTGTGGAGGAGGGGGAACTTTGGAAGCCTGGGCCAGGAGGATGGCGAGGGGGCAAGCCTGCTGGTTTTGAGCTCCACTGGTGTGGTAGAGAAGGGGCGACACACAATTTGGTGTGCACACCTGGCCTCTGTCACTGCTGCTAGGGAAGAAGATATGCATCCCGATAATAATCTGGGCTCCGCTTACATCACAAGATGCAGAAACAATCCCCTGAAACACCGCCACAGACGAGCCGGAAACCGAGAGAGGCGCGGACGACCACCAGCCTTCTGGACAGGAAGTCCTGCCTCTGAGGCTGCCACCTCGCTCCCAGCCGACCCCTACCGCCGGGAAGTGCATCCCCGTCCAAAGCACCCGCTCCTCTCGGCAGGACGCAGCCTCTCATCACCCAGCATGTGAATTTTGCTGTCCAAGATATGGGCCCACCTCACCTAGAGTCCTATCCCACTGACCAGAAGTCTGAGCCTGCAGCCCTAGACTGCAGCTCCACCAGCCCCAGCTATTTCTCCACAAAGGTCTGGACTCTCTCTACCAAGAACTGGACCTGGACCTCCTGAATGAGGATTCTTCCCTGACCCCTCCCAGATGCCACGACAGAGACCTCTGCGCCCACCTATGAATCTCATTCAACTTCCAAACCGGATCTGATGGAGGCTGAGCAAAGGGAACTCAAGCTCTGAGCTCTGAGCTCACTGACTTGGAGGAAGAGCTCTCAACCTTAGGTGAGGTGCTGGCAGCCAAGGGGAAGCCGTGTGGTGAACTCGGGAGGAAGCTAGGCTGCGTGGCCTTGGTGGGACCGAAGCAGAAGCTTTCCGAGAGCCGGCATAACATCCACGCCTCCAACTCCTGCATGAAGCGGAAGACTTGAGCGGCCCTGTCCTGGGTGGACTCTGCCACTGCAGGAAGCTTGAAGACAAGAAGAAGCCATCCACCTTCAGATCTCTTGAAGGGCTGATGGGACAGTCAAGGCTAGAGTTGCAGGTGGCAGAGAGCTTGGCAGTGGTCTCCTTTCGTCACCAGCGAGTGGCAGCGATCCACAGTCGATTCCGGGGAGTGGACATGGAACCGTTCCAGAACTTGGAGATCAACTGCTTTCCTCTGCTCTGAAGCCACAGTAAGCTGTTTGTGCTCGCCCTGCTTGGCTGCCAAACCGGTACAAAATCTCTCTTCCCTCATCTCACTTGCCAAGCAAAACCCTGCGAACAGCCAACAATGGGAAAGTTATTATAATTCTGGATGCGGACACAGGTCCAGGTTTGATAACGGGAATGCCCGTTTCTGCAGAGACATTTTCTGTTCTTAAATAAGAGAGAAGCTCGAGTTTTATACTGGTTTTTAACACTAAAGTTTGTAGATAAAACGCGTCTCTTTGTTAGCTTTTCTGAGGTGACTTTTCATGGACACAGTAAATGGCTCCACAAGGGGGCTTAGACCAGATCCCAAACTCTTTGGAAGATTAATCGATTAGAAGGCCAGAGACATTTTTCTCTGGCACTGGGGGAAGGTGTGGAACAGTCCGCCTGTGCATTCTCCCCACTTCCTACGAGCACCACCTGACCTACAACCTTGATTTTATTGCAGGGTTGGCGGTGCGGCCCAGTGCCTCGCACATGCTGCACAGATTCTCTACTCCCGAGCTACATCTCTGACCTCACAGTTGTTTATTTTTAAAACACAATCAAGAAAACTGTCCATCTTAAGGCTGCCAGAAAAAAGAAAAAATATATTAGCCACTGATTGTTACTCTAAAAATAATACATTTTATAAAACTTTGATCTTTCAAAGTGGCCAACTCAGGAAATCAACTCAGCTTTAATTCAGGAGATTACTGTTTTGGACTCAAAGTGAAAATATGAATTTACATTGCCTATACTTTTGCTCTCTTTGTATATTAAAGCTGGAGTTCAAAGCTTAACCCATGTGGCCTCATGTCTCCCCACCAGTTGCATCCTATTATGCTACAATTGCCAATTAGTAATCACCTTCGTCTAAGGGACAGGAGGGACACAAAGTAGCCAGATTTAAGAAGGATAAAGCTCACCCCACCTGCCTCTTAAATATGCTGGAAAGAATACCAAACCCTGTATTGCTGGCTGTTAAGCCTTTGAACTAGCCTAACTTAATGTATATTACTATTCTACTTGACTCTAAACCCTGCCCCTGTTTTGAACCTCAACATGGAAGAAAGAAGAACCCTACACACACACACACACACACACACACACACACACACACACACACAGTCAATAGGAACCTGTAGGAACTTGGTTTGAGTTTGTTCAAACTTTCTTTTATGTGAGTCTCACAGAAACTGTGTAAAATGCCCGTCCCAGCAGCTTTCTTCTCTCCTTCCACTACACTGTCTGAAATAGGAGTTTCTGTAGCCTCGAATCGCAGCAGTCCACTATTTGCTTGAATACATTTCAATAACCTATCATTGCCTACAAGATGGCCCTCGAGGCCAAGTACTTGATCCTATTTTGCTATTTCCTGAGTGTTCCTCTCACATCCCTTTTGTTAGAAACTAAATTCTGCTGTCAGTGTAAAGCTCTTGATAAAACCCAATCCTCCAAAGTTTCAAAGGCCACGTTTTGCTTGGATTAAAACAAGATGTACAAGTCTTTTGCATGTTTACTTCTTGATTTACTATAATTATCAACTGACATAGTTCTCTATGATGGAGAATAAAAGACAAATCAACAACAAGAAAAAAAAAAATGAAAGTTGGCCAATGTGCAGCGACCTACATCTTAAAAGGCTTGTGTTGTAGATGATCTCATTGATACTGTGGGCCAAACCTAAAGTATGTTCTCTCTTATTTAGTAACTCAAATATGTTAGAACACTTTTCCAAATAAATTTTTGAGGGGGGGTGTCTTAATATTTAACAGACAAGGCTGTCCTCAAACTTGTGATCACCTGCCTCAAGCTTCTAAGTACTGGGATTATAGGCATGTACCACTATGCCTGAATATTGTCAACAGATTCTCAGTTACATGAAAAAAGTAAAGCACATTTCTGATTTTGTTTATCAGTCACTATCCTACTATTTCTAAGTTAAAATAAATAATAAATTCTTATTAAATTAATGAGAAAATATCACACACATCAGATAGCAAACCTTGGATCTGAGAGATTATTTATTTTTAATTTTTAATTATTTTTTTTTTCTGAGACAGGGTTTCTCTGTGTAGCCTTGGCTGTCCTGGACTTGCTGACCTCGAACCCACAGCCATCCTCCTGCCTCTGCTTCCCGAGTGCTGGGATTAAAGGCATGAGCCACCGTGGCCAGCTTTTAAACAAAAATAATCTTTATTTGAGCCTTTTATGTATTCAAAGACAAACAGGCCTTCCTGTGTGTTAGGAGCTGTGCCCAGCCCTGAAGGCACAGAGGTTAAGTAGACCTGATCGACATACGATTTTAATGGAAGTTTTGGTTCTTTGTAAACTCAGTTATGTAATGTAAATATGTTTTTGTTTTAATGCCAAGTGTGGGATTTTAGTCGGGCTATAGTTTGTACACACCTATTAATTATCTCATGTGGGGGGTGGCTTTTGCCAGCTGGTGATGGCCTTCCATGTGTGGCAAGGAGAGGGCTTGGTCTAGGGCTCTGAGGATATAAATTTGAGAGCCCAGAAAGAGGAGGTTTGGTGTTCACTGTTGGCGTGTAGCAGTTTGGAGAGATCAGAGACAGACTGTGTGGTGGTCTGGAGCAGACAGGTGGACAAAAATGCTTTGGGGTGCAGCAGTTTGGAAGAGACCACTGGCTGTGTCTGCTGTTGATGGAGTTTGGTATAGCCCCCAAAGACCCTTCAACCTTAAACAGCCAGAAGTAAAAGGGTCCTCTCTCCCCACTAACCTTCTCTCTCCTATTAGAGTTGGGAGGTTGGAAAAGAGGTTGAGGCCTAAACACCCCAAATGAAGTAGAGTTATAAAAATGAGAGCTACATATGTTAGAAACACTCAGATTCTCGAATCATTGGCTTGGGATCATTGGGATTATACTGTAGTATGTGCCTAAATAGAGATGTGCGCCACAGACGAAGGAAGTTCTCTGGGAGGTTGTGTTTAGTTCTGTCTTGGAAGGTAAATAAAAATTATATAGAGACAGCCGTGATGGCTAATGTACTTGGGAGTCTAAGGTGGGGGATTAAGATCTTGAAGCCAGCTGAGCAGAGTGGCACACACCTGTAATTCCAGCACTCGGGGAGGCAGAGGCAGGCAGATCTCTGTGAGTCTGAGGCTAGCCTAGTCTACAAAGCAAGTCCTGGACACAAGCCAAGGCTACATAAAGAAACCCTATCTCACAAACAAAACAAAAAAAGAGCTTGAAGCCATCTTGGACTATCTCTGGGAGACAATGTCTGGAGGGAAATAAATGGACTTCATAGAAGCATAAAATCTTAAAAAGACTAGAAGTTTGCCAGACAAGTAGAATATTGATATGATGTTAATGTGATGTTAATATGATCAATAGAAGAACTGAGCCATGAAGGAATGTGCCAGAAACATATTCCAAGAAATACCTGTAAGTCACTGAGGCCAGAAAAGGAAGAGGATGGTGAGTGATGTGTATGGGGAAAACCGGGCGCTAGATCAGTGGCACACTCCTCTACACTGCTTCAGGCAGCAGTCCTTAGCCCTGAAGGAAACAAGGGGGGATCGGAGCACTTCAGTTAAAAGGTAACGGTCACCAGAGAAATATTTAAGAGAGAGAATCTCCCAGGCTGAGGAACTAGAAGAGACAGATGACTACATTTACAAGATAAGAAGAATGTATAACTTTGAAATAGAAATGGCATATTAATTTTGCTTTTGATTTTTTTTAAGTGGATTTCAGCGTAGCTGTGGCACACCAAGGTACCATCTATGCACTAGGAAACAGTGGATCTTCTGCCTCAATCTTGGATTTTTTTTTTTTGATCTCCAAAACCAGGAGAAATATATTCCTGCTGTTTATAACAACATTTTGTTATAGTAGCTTGAATGTTCCGAGACTAGCCAAGTTTTGTCTCACGGGTCACATGATCCATGATGATGGGGCTGGGTCACCAGACCTCTTACCCAATGGCGTTATACATGCCCTTTGTAACCCAGCGTTACTTTTGGAAACATTCACCAGAAACTTCTGGGGGCTTCTGTAGCACTTACTTTTACTACATGATTCATTAAAAGTGCTGAATTCCAGCTCTGAGGAAAAACCGTGATCATCACTTCATTCTCATGGCTTATATAGATCACTGAGTGGCAGGCAGTGACCGCTGACTCAGAACTGCACATGTGGTAGGTCATGGGTTTGATGGCTGAGACCACTAAGGAATAATGGTGTCATGTGTTGACGCTGCTAAGAAGTAGGGTGTTGTCATGCTTTATATATATTTTTTTGAGTTTTTTTTATATCTCTATCTCCCTTCTTCACCCCAATCCCTTCCAACACCCAACACCAGGTAGCAGAGAAACATTAGTTGGGCAAAGGGCTGTAAGTCTCTTAAGCTACTTCCTGCTGGTTAGGGTCATTGGGTTTCTTGGGTCAAGTACAATCTTTGTTTTGGGTATCTCCAACGTCTTCTCGTCCAACTGCAACAACAGCAACCAGGAGCAGCATGGGAAAGCAGCAGTGGCCTTTCTTGGAGCCCTCTTCTCTCTACGGCCTCTGGCATTCATTCACTCTCCAGAGTTCTCAGAATTAAACTATCTACAGCTGGCAAAGAGCCTCTCTCAGAGCCCACATGAGACAAATAGTTTGCTGCTGTTGGACCATCTGAACTAGCCCCATATCCCACACCTGGGACTAAAACAAAAACATGTTTACGTAACCTAACTGAATGTTTAAATACACCAAAACTTTCACAACAGTTGTACCTGGGTTATAGACTTGCAATTCTTGCATGAACTCGAGTATAAGCAAAAGGACAAGCAGTACACTATCACAACAAGTACAGAGAGATGCTTGGAGGGCACAGTGTTGAAAAGCACAGTAATTCTGTCTTCCGACCCAGACGCCAACCTCACTGGCAAAATCAGTCTGATGGAATAATTCAGGCACTCTGGGAACTGCTGTGGTACTACAACCTTGAGGGTAAGGCTTGAAGTGTAAATTGTGGTTAATTTTTAATCA